ATGGAACCTCTCCTTCCTTAACAAGCTCTATAATCACTGGGAGAATGGAGGGATAAGGCATCATAAGACTTTGGGCGCGGGTTCGTACCCACTGGAGGTAAGGCTCAAGAGGGATGGAATTCTTGTGTCCCAAGGTCTTACTATCCACCTTGTTGGGCATCCTCCAAGCTCAGATGAATCTTTGACGGAGTCCTTGGTTGTCGTTGTCAAAGTTGAAAACCCAACCTTGAATCAACATGTCATGTTGGCCATCCCTTCGGGCGTACCCAAATTTACTTAGAGCCAAACAAGGGTTGTAGGTGATGCCTCCCTTAATGCCAAGTAGAGGGACATTAGGGAATTCCCCACAGCGGTCAACAATGATGACATTCTCTCTGGACCGAGAACACCAATGAATATCTAAATGTGTAAGAGTCATCAATTGTTGTGACCACCTCAAACCTTGCTCATTCTTCAAGACTGATTGGGGAAGATGAGAAATAAACCATCTTGCAAGGAGAGGAGTGCAACACATGAGAACACCTCTTTTCCTCATTGTTCGAGTGTGAAAAGGTGGAGGATATCCCCAAGCAATGTAGGCACCAGGTTGTGAGACATGAAGATTTTGACAGCGCTCACATCTATGAGTTGGTCAGGTTAGGGAACAAGACCATCCCATAGATGAGAAGAGCTACAATCTCCTCAAAAGCTTGTAAGTCCAAGGAATTCCAGCAGCTTTGGGCCTTCTCAAACAAGAACTTTGCCAAGAAGCCTTTGACACCACATCTAGTTTCCCAATGTGTTGTGACATCAGATGAGTGCAAGTGCAGGGCTTGAGCAATCTCTTCTGGCTTTGGATCTCTTTCTGTACCGTTGAAGGGTAGTTGATTGAGAATAGGAATCCTCAAGAGTTGAGAAAATTCCTCCAAAGTGGGCACAAGTTGGTTGTCAGGAAATGTAAAGCAATGATGCAAAGGGTCAAAGAACTGGAAGAGAACTTTCATCATATCCTCCTCAGTATTGGTGGTGACCAAGTTGAGTAGACGACCATGTCTCTCGGTGAATAGAGAATTCTCAGGAATCCTTGAAGCTATCTCCTTGAGTTGTGGAGGAATTCTTACAAGGTTTATTTGGATAGTTTTCCTGCGAAGTGAATCCATAACCTACAAAACAAAAACAAAGATGAATCTCCAAAATCCTTGAAATGGTTAGTGAATGCACATGATGCTCATGATGTCCATGATGTTATGCACAAGTATATATGTACAAGCAAATCACACAAGTTCCTAGTTTAGGCTTGTATGGGGTTTCATAGGTAAATACCCTCTTGAAGTTTAGTTGGCTCAACCTGTCCTAGAAATAGTAACCGGGTTCTAAGGAGCTCAATATCACTGGATTGTTTCTTTGTTCATTGTTTTAATTCAGCCTCTTTATTGGCAACCGAAATATTCCAAGGAACCAACCCTCAATGAGTGTAGTATCGAGTATCTACCAACTTCGGACTGCACCAAAGCCAGTCATCTCACTACATCCTAAAAGGCCAAGTTGGTCAAGTAAAGGTTCTAGAAGTTCGTTAGTGCTTCATGACATCACTCAGCGGCCCCGTATTCTCTTTGATTGACTCAAAGGCTACCGGTACCCACAAATATGTCACACTAACATAGTTATTTCTTAGACCGTATCGGTATACACCGCATAGTTTCCACAATGTATTGCTATTTACCTATAATGTTTCCCAAATCCGGGTAGAGGATTCAAACCCAAACAATAGAACCAAAGTGTAAAAAATATAAGTCAAACAAGATAAGCATGTAAAGGTGATCTAAAACCCAAAGGTAACCCCACTTTTATATTATTCCCCAGCAGAGTCGTCAGTTCTGTGATGCGGTGGGAGAACTGACTTGAGGTTTTGCGTTTGTGTTTGCAAATGTTGCGGTTAGCAAGAGTCGCCACCGACTTTTCTTTTATCCAAAAGGAAAGGTAAAAAAGCACAGGAAAGACCTTTGAGATGTTTTCTTGAGTTCGAGGGGTAGATTATGAAAAGGGAAGGTGCTAGCACCCTTTTCATCCATGGTTTTCTATGGGCTATTAGTTACTTGTTTAGATCACTTGCTTTGCTTTTGAAATTGTTTGAAATGGTGCTTTGTGTGGTTTTGAAAGTATTTTGAAAAGAGGTCATCGTTTAGGAAATCTTTGTAATGATTCTCGTTCGTAAGAATGTATACAAAGATGTTTGTCTTTTGTTTCAATGTTTTGAAAGTTGTTTGGAAATGTTTTTGAAATGTGTGTGTGTTTTTGAAAATAACAAGGATTGTTTGCAAATTGATCAAGTAACTAGAAGCATTCTACCTACTCAAAAGTCTTTCCTATACATTTTTATTCTTTTGACATTGTTGATTTACCATTGATTTGGTAAACAACCCTATCTTTGGATGTTAAACGGGATGGGCGTGGGTCATCGTATGACCATGATAGCAATGTTGCCAAGCATCTTTAGCATTTTTGAGGGCCAAGATCATTTGTTTAGGCAACCTTTTGATAGCGTCATCGAGGGACTATGATCATATTTGTTTGTTTTGCTTTGCCAAGATACTTTGCATGCATACCATGGTCATTTATAAATTATTGATAAAAATATTTTTATATCTATAAAAAAATGCGCGTAGCATATTACCCTATTTTTTAATATCGATTTATTTGATGTTTTTTTAAAGGATAATATGTACAATTAACAAACATATTGTTGAAGTAAATGTTTTTATACAGGTAAAAAATATATAGTTTATTCAAATATAGGCACGAGTTTTGTACTTTCGCGAACAACAAATGTCATGTATATAAAATTAATTATTTCTAATTTATTTATATTTATATTTAATTTTGAAAATAAAAGCGTGCGTATTAATCAAAACACAAGAAAAATGTGTTATTTTTTAATTAATTATCTATCTAATTTTTTATTTTGAAATTATTTTTAGTTTAAGATAATATATGAAAAATTGATATATATATATATATATATATATATATATATATATATATATATATATATATATATATATATATATATATATATATATATATTAATATATATATATATATATATATATATATATATATATATATATATATATATATATATATATATATATATATATATATATATATATATATATATATATATATATATATATATATATATATATATATATATATATATATATATATATATATATATATATATATATATATATATATATATATATATATATATATATATATATATATATATATATATATATATATATATATATATATATTAATATATTATTGATGAAAAACAATTTTGGTAAAATAATTTTCTTTTTATTTTAAAAATATAACAGACTATTTTGATAAAACAATTTTTTTTTCTTATTTATATTTGATTATATTTTGAGAACAAAAGTGTGCGAATCACACCGGCATCTATGGTAACACACGAGTATTGATATGTATGTGCATACAATACTAATATTAAGCTATTGATTTAAATATTAAATAATAACGTCAACAAATTTATTATCGATTTAATTGTTTTTATAATTAATTCAAAAAAATTTATATATAAGATTAATTATATTCTTGATTAAACTGTTTTTATATACTTAATAAAATATAAAAACCAATTTATCATCTCTTTTTCCTCTATTAAACTATTTTGGTTTGAATCTTATCTTTTTTTTTCATTTCATTTTTCTTATTTATTTTTTATTACATTTTAAAAATAAAAGCGTGCGTACCATATAAATACTCGTGCGAAAGCACGAGTAACACATTAGTAATATGTCAACGCACGAGCAATCATATCAGAATTTGTATGAATCTATTGATTATTTTATTTTTTATATAATTAAAGAAAATAAAAGTAAATATATTTAAAATAATGTATGAATTCAAACACGAGAAGAATGTGTTGTTTTTAATTTGAAATTATTTTTGTTATAAAATTATTCTGGTAGAACAATTTTGTTTTTCTTTTAAAAATATGATGTTTTTTTTTAAATTATAATTTTTTTGGTAAAAAATTTTTTTTCTTATTTATATTTTGAAAATAAAAGTGTACATAGCACACCAGTATCTATGTTAATGCACGGGTAACACATCAGTACTGTGTGAACGCACATGTAATCATATCAGAATTCCTACAAATTCACGGGTTATTATATTTTTTGTACAATTAAAAAAAATAAAAATAATTATATTAAAAAAATTATGAGTCCAAACACGAATAAATTGTGTTGCTTTTAAATAATTTATATTGTTAATATTTTTATTCTGAAATTATTTTTATTTTAAAATATATTATTTTTTAAGATAGTATATAGAAAATTTAAATTTATATTATTGATAAAAAAATATTCTGGTAAAATAATTTTGTTTTTCTTTTAAAATGTGATTTTTTTTTTAAATATAAATTTTTTTAGTAAAACAATTTTGTTTTTCTTATTTACTTTTTTATTACATTTTAAAAACAAAATCGTGTCTACGACACCAATACCCGTGCAAACGCAGGGTATTCCACTAGTTATTTAGGATAATTTTTTTGGAAATAAAGATTATATTAACAAAAAAACAGTACAAAACAAAGCGACCCAAAAGATTCAGCAAAGAACAATACCCACTCTGGTCCACCTAATTAAGGCAATAAAAGCTGAGATATTCTATGTCTAAATTTGGGGAAAACCCACACTTTATTCACTATATTATCTAGAATGAATCAAAAAGTATTCCTATTAGTATAATTCTTGTTACAGACAGCTCTATTTCTATCCCACCAAATCTCATAAATTGTTTCCGCTATGGCAATCTTTACAAGCTGGCCACGCCAGTTTTATCTCCTACAAACTTTCACAATCCACTCAAGCTATTGATCCCAGCCTTGAACCTTATGGTTAATATTTAGCCACCTAAGGACTTCCTCCCAAATTTTGCTAGTAAACCTGCATTGGAAAAATAAATGGTGAATAGATTCAACATAATTACAGAACAAAGCAATTAGGCTGATGGAAGATGCCAATCTTCGCCAATCTGTCTTTAGTAGGCAACCGTTTATGGAAATCAAGCCACAGTAAAAAAACCACACGAGGCCTAGCTATATTCCTCATAACAAGACCACCCCAATCAGCATTAGGAATATCCTTCAAAAACTCAAAGTAACACTTTTTCATGGGGAATTTTCCAGAACTCTTCATGTTACCCCACTGGGACAGCCTCATCGCTTCAGACCGAACTTTAAGGATGCTACGCGGGATCCATGAGCCATTTTCTTTAACTTCCATTAGCAAAATGTTATCATTCTTCACATAATTGGCATGGATCCACCTAACTCACATGCTGTCATCTTTGCTACTTAAATTCCAAAGTAATATGCACATATACACTTTATTCCACACAACCAAGTTGATAATCCCTAAGCCACCTTGATTTTTAGGAGCACACACAATATCCCACGACACAGAAGACTTCCTCGAACTAGCATCTTTACCAGCCCAAACAAAGGATCTGCAAATAGAAGCAAGCTTCTTAGTCACACCTTTGGGCAGAGGGAGATAGCTCATCTAATAATTGGTGCAACCAAAGATCACAGTATTCACTAATTGAATCCTACCAGCATAGGTTAATAAGTGAGAGCTTCAATGTCTTATTTTTGCACAAATTTTTTCCACAGGGGCATATCATTGATTAGAAGACAACTTTATGCTATTTAGAGGAATCCCTAAATAGATGAAGGGAAGACAACCTCTACCAAAACCTGTAATTTGCTCCCAATCAGCCTGCTCTTTAACATTCAAACCACCACAATAAAGTTTATATTTACTAGGGTTCACTTTAAGCCATTGGACAAAGAGAACTTAGAGAAGATATCCATCATCAACTGAACAAAAAAATTATCACCTCTAGTAAAGATTAAGAGGTCATCAACAAAACTCATATCAACTAGTTTAAGCTTCTCACACTTGCTATGATAATTGAAATTAGGAATTATGCTCAGCCCATCCAGCTTTCTATGGAGATACTCCATTATGACAACAAACAAAAGGGAGAGATGGGATCACCCTGTCTCAAACCTCTAGCTTCCTTCACTCTCATAGAGATTCTGCCATTGATATTGAATTGGTACGACACTGTAGACACTGCTAACATCACCCACCTGACAAATCTCCCAGGGAATCCTACATCAGCCAAGATAGTCTACAATGCACACTAGTCAATATAATCGTAAGCTTTCCTAATGTCCATCTGCATCATACAACGAGGCCCTCAGCATGTTTATTGAACCAAGTGAACTTCTCGCTCTGTCAAATAGACCAGTGTCAATCATCATATCTCTGAGATCATAAAATTTTGATTCCTTGACCTCTTTACCCCCTATCCTGTCCATACAGCCAAGGACATTGTTAAAGTCCCCCATCACAATCCACGACCCTTGCTGATTTTTTACAATATTGCCTATGTCTCTCCATAAAACCTTTCTCTTCTCAAGCTTATTAGAGGCATACACAGCCGTTATCCAATGAACAAGACTGTCATCGTGATTATACACCCCACAATGAATCAATTGCTCTGTCATAGTCACAACATTTACTCTAATTCTGTTTTCATGCCACATAAACCAAATTCTCCCATTAGCATGTTTACTATAGTTATCATAGGTCTTCCAATTACCACTCATTTTCCTCCTACAATTATAAGAATTATCTTTCTTCACTCTAGTTTCAAGAAGAATAGCAATCATAGGTTATAGCTTAAGAGACGGGATCCAATCTCTTTTTGCTTAGCTACTTTATTAAGCCCCCTAACATTCCAAGAGATAATCATATGTCCCCTAGGGGGTTCACCTTGTGGTCCTTCCAAACCTCTAAGGTGCTAAATCCATTGTTGCTAAATACATTCTTTAAACATTCAACATTGTTACTACCTGTATCTTTATTACCTTTCAGCACTAATGTCCAAATCCCATCTTCTGCATTGGTACCATTGGCTGAACAAGCCTGTCCATTCTGTTAGGTGTAACCTCACTTGGCAACGCAAAACCCTCATGTTTTCCAGGAATCCCTTCCTCCTCAGCTTTGTTAACTTGACTATTTTCTCCTTTATCCTTATCAGCCTTTTGCTGCCACATTTTCACTAGAAGTTTCTTCTTCCCATTGCAAATATGACCCACCCTTTGACACTTTTCACAGTATTGTGGTCGCCATTCATACTCGACCTTCTGTATTCTGTCACAACCATCATAATGAATCTCAATTTCCCCACGCAACTTTTGAGTCACATCCACTTCCATCAATACACGAGCATATATAACCCTTAAATTGTATGTCGTACACTCATCTGTGAAAAGCGGATTCCCAATGACACTCCCAATTTTACCTAGGCTTGATACACCCCACATATGAGTTGGAAGCTTAGGGAATTTCACACGGATTGGCACTGTCCTCAACATATCTCTCTCCATATAGAGAAATTAGATCGCCATTCCATTATCACCATAGGCATGTTTCGAAGTGTATAAGGACCCTTCAATAGCACTTCTTCGCGCTGCTTAGCTGTCTTGAATTTTAGAATGAAGAATCCTTCATATCGTTGTAAAACATTTCTGGCAGTTATACGAAGTTCCATTCCTTGATCATATAGTTCTTGACAGCATTCATACTCAAATGACCGACAATAGCATACATGATAAGCGAAGTAACCCAAAATCTAATCTCCGATTCAACATCTTCATGCTCAATTTCCACCACCGATTTGCCATCCACTATTGTAGATGCCACAAACTTCAGCGCTTTATCGTTAGTTATCTTACGATTCCCCTTAATTACATCAACCCACAGTTTCGTAGCACCATTATTCCCTTGTAGCTCTGCTAGACTTGCCACTTTAATTTCTCTTTCTCCCTCTTTAGGGTTTTGACAAACCCCTAACTTGGGATTCTCAACTTCCCAATTGTTGTTTGCCACCACAGTTGCCTTCAATACACCACTCGTTTCACCCACATCCACTTCCCCCGCAATGAGAGTCGCCTGATTTGGTGTCGCCAGTGGCGGAGAGACCTTGTTCGATGGTCGCCCTTGTCGTTTCTTCGACGCCGATGTTCTCGTCATTAGTTTAAAGCAAACTTTAAAATTTTTTAAATAATAATAATAATATGTTTTTTTTAGTTTATAGAAAAACGTGAAAGACTCTATAAAAGATTATTTAGGGAAAAAATATTTGTTTCCATAATAATACTAATAATCAATTTAAGTTTTTATATATGAATGTTATTCAAATTCATATTCATTTAAGCCGAAATAAATATTTGTTGTAACAAAATTGGACTTTCTGATTTGTAAATTTTAAAATTAAAATTTATTTTAATTATAGAATCAAATTATTTAATTAATTAATTAGTACATACTGGAGTAAGAAAGTAGAAAGTTTAAATAAATATTGATTTAAATGAAAAAATAATATGTAAATTATTCTACTTTTATATATAAAAAATAATAATAATAATAATAACAATAATAATAATAATATTAATTAATTTTAATTTTATACGTATCATTTCTCTTCATTTTCAAATTCATTTTAATATAACAAACCAATCCATCTAGTAGTTATTGATGCTGGTACCACGTGAAAAACTAAAAATACAAAAAATGATGCTACTTTTATGTAAAAATAAAGATATTATTACCGCAAATTATGGTACTTTTATATATAAATAGTTTCCCTTAGTGTGTGATACTCAATTAATATTTGGAATAGAAGCTCTCGTACAATGGAGAGAAAACCCTAGGTTTAGAAACACCATTCGCCTAGTTTTAAGGTGGGGGAAGAGAAATCGGTTACCTCAATGGAAACCCAAACATTCCCTTCACTTCACACACCACCACTGCCTACACTTCCGTTTGATCTCATCGCAGATATTTTCTCTAGGCTCCCCGTCAAGCTCCTTCTTCAACTTCGCTGTCTCTGCAAGTCTTTCAATTCACTTATCTCCGATCCCAAATTTGTAAAGAAGCATCTTCAATTCTCAATCAAGCGCCCCCACCTTGTCGTAAACTCTACAAATAACTTAGATGAGTTACTTCTCTTTGATTCCCCAATGTCCTCCATTTTTTCTATTTCCACTGCTATGCAAACACATCTCAGTTATCCTATTACTCCTATAAATGTTGGATACGGTATACCTATGGGATTCTCCTCTTGCGACGGTATGCTTTGTTTTGCCATTCATGCCAATTCTGTTGTTTTATGGAACCCTTCCATTAGAAAGTTTAAGTTACTGCCTCGTCTGCAAAGTCCATCACAAATAAATCCGATTTTTATATATAGCTTTGGGTACGTTCGTTTCATTGATAATTATAAGATTGTTAGTATTTCCTTTTCTATTAAAGACCATATCGATGTCAGTGTTAATACCATTGGTACAGATTTCTGGAGAAGAATACATGGCTTCCCATATTGTAACACCATTCGCGGATCAGGAGTATTTGTGAGGGACTCAGTTAATTGGTTGGCATATGATGCTTCAAGTAGTTCTTTACATGCCATTGTTTCTCTTGACTTGGAGAAGGATTCATATCAGAAGCTTTCTATACCTGATTTGAAGAGGGAAAATTGCACCTTGGGGGTGGTGACGGATTGCTTATACATCTTTGAATGTAATGATATGTTTTTCGATGTTTGGGTCATGAAAGAATATGGCAATAAGGAATCTTGGACTAAGATATACAATATTCCTTATATGAAAGACCATGTTTTCTATTCCTATGCTAAGGCCTTATATATCTCAGAGGATGACCAATTGCTCATAAACTTTTATGACTTGACAAGTAAAAAATTAAAGCTGCTTATTTATGATTCAAAAAATCGTATTTGGAAGATTCCTGATATTCATAACATCAAATGTATAAGCAACTCAGAAGTCTACATTGAGAGTTTGATATCACCTTTTTCTAGAGGTTAGGATGTTAAAGCTACGCACACTCACTCGAGCAACAAATTCAATTCCAACATCTATATGGCTAATTTATGTTTATGTTATTTTTTTATGCATTTTCCTTTGGTTTTCTAATATTTGAGATTTAAATTTTATTATCTGCTTACAAGTTAATTTGTGTTTGTTTTAAATACTGTATAACATATTATGAAATGTATTGAATATAGTATGTTATCATATTGTGATTTCTTTTTTAAGAGTAATTAATTCAAAATTATCACGCTGCCTTTTGAAAATTTGATTATAGGTAATGATATACCAGCCTTTCAAAAGCATGTATATCACATTTAGTCAAAAAGAAAAGCATGTATATCCCTATGTGCATCTTCTTGTATACTATTGTCCTATGAATTATACTCTAGTTCTATGAAAGTACAATATTTTACATTTTTTTGTGTTATTCTAATTTTATCAATAAATTTTTAAAATAAATATATAATGAAAAACACACTTGTAATTATCCTTACTAACTTAAGTTGATTTCTAAATCCCAAGAATAAAAAAAGAAACAATCAATCCCAAGAATAAAAAAGAAACAAATTGGTTTCCCAAAAATAAAAAAGAAACAAATTGGTTTTAAAAAAAAAGAAGGAAACAAGTTTTTTGTATAACTTGCTCTTATGCATTTGAAAGTATAAATCTAACCCAAATTATAGCAAGTGACTCTTGAAATAATAATTGGAGCAAAAATAGTCACGGCTGAAAATCCATCAAATATGATAGATGAATTTCTACCAATTTTGATGAATAAGATTAATATCACCATACAATGACAATGAATTATGAGAAAATAAAGAAGACAATTATTTTATGTAGAGTTTCTCTCTGTCCACAAACTGTGGAAAATTTTATTAATCACTTGCAACTGCAAATTCTGTGATTACAATGAATTGACTTAATTTACAAAATTATGGGTTATTCCCTTTATTTATAGATTTAGGTTAGCTTTCTCCCTAAGTCAAAGTTCAAAACTATAAAATCCCAAAATACATATTTTGGTACTAAATCAAATTTATCTATTTTAGATCTAAATCTAAAATCAATCAAATCTGTGTTTAGCTTGCTTCGATCCACAAGCTCTTCGACTGAGAAACCTTCCTTCAACACACACACACACTGTTTCGACACAATCGAATTACAATTTAACACACCAGTTAGTTCATTATGTCTAAACTATCTATATTCATCATGATTCTTAGTCTTCTGAATACTTTGACCTGCATTGTCTTCGTCATGATGTTTGCAATCTGATTCTCAGTTCTGCAGTGTTCCAAATTCATCTTCCCACCTGCTACATGCTCTCGAAGATAGTGAAACCTTATTTCGATGTGCTTGCTTCGACCATGTGCTATCGGGTTCTTCGCCAGATTGATAGCTGGCATGTTGTCGATCTTCATGGTAATTGCTCCATAATATTTCCTTATTATCTCTTCGACCAAGTTCACCATCCAAGTTGCTTGACATACACAAAGAGAAGCAGTTATGTATTCTACTTCGCATGATGATAATGCCACTACTGGTTCCTTTCTTGAACTCTAAGCAGCCGGTGCACCACCTAACATAAACACATATCCTGGTGTTGATTTTCGATCTTCAGCATCACTATACCAACTCGAATCATTATATCCCACTAACTTGTATTTTTTTCCTTTACCAGCTGCAGGAAACAAAATGCCATAGTCGAGAGTTCCTTTGAGATACCTTAGTATCCTCTTCACCGCTGCTAGATGTGATACCTTTGGCTTCTGCATGAATCTACTTATCATACCTACACTATATGCTAAGTCAGGCCTTATATGATAAAGGTATCTCAATGATCCAATAAGTCTTCTGTATTGGGATGGGTCGACATCATCTTCATCTGCATCTTTCGACAATTACAGTCTTGGCTCTGCAGGTGTCGAAGTTGAGTTACATTCTTCCATCTCAAACTTCTTGAGAATTTCTCCTGCATATCTTCTTTGATACACCATCATACCTCTACTACTCTTGTAGAATTTGATGCCAAGGAAATATGAAATCTCACCCAGATCAAACATTTCGAATTCCTTGTTGAGATCACCTTTGAATTCTTCGATCTCACTTTCGCAGCTACCTGTTATCAAGAAATCATCGACATAGAGACATAGTATAAGAAATTCACTATTGTTTCTTCTTACATATACTCCATGTTCAGTTGTGCACTTCACAAATTCCTTATCCCTTAGGAAACTATCAATTTTTTATTCCAAGCTCTTGGAGCTTGTTTTAATCCATACATGGCTTTATGCAACCTATACATCTTTCTCTCTTCGTCATGTTTCACAACCCCAACTGGTTGTTTAACATAAACTTCTTCGTCTAAGGGTCCATTCAGGAGTGCACACATCACGTCCATCTGACATATGTGCCATCTGTTTATTTCTGCTAGACCAACAACCAACCCGATTGTTTTGATCCTAGCAACAGGTATAAAAACTTCATCGAAGTCTATTCCTTCTTTTTGTAGAAATCCTTTCGCCACAAGCTTTGATTTGTGTCGACTTACTTTCCCTTAGGAATTCATTTTAACTTCGTATACCCACTTGACATCAATTGCCTTCTTGCCTTGAGGCAATTCGACAAGTGACCAAGTGTTGTTGTCTTCGATAGAATTCACTTCTTCGTTCGTTGCTTTCACCCACTTCGAATCCTTCAATGTTTTAATTGCACTGATAGGTTCGACATTTGCATAGAAAGCATAATGTACCAACTCACCTTCATTATCTATCACATCATCTGATGTAATTACACAATCTTGCAATCTTGCAGACATGCATCTTGTTCTTTGAGGTCTTCTTGTACTTGGTTGATATATAACTGTTGGTTCTTCTTGTCGAACTTCTCTTTTGACTTGAGGTTCTGGTTCTTCAAGTAGGATTCCCACTGAATCTTTTTTGACATTTTCAGTCCAATCACATTCTTTAAGCTCATCTATGATCACGTTCTTGTTGATCATAATCTGCTTGTTCACTAGGTCGAACAACTTGTAATCTACTGTCAAATGATATCTAACTAGAATCATTTAACTCGACTTGTCATCAAGTTTTCTTCTCAACTGATCTGGCACGTGTCTATGTGAAATAGATCCAAATACCTTCAGATGAATCAATCTAGGCATCACACCATACCAACATTCTTTTGGAGTAATTCCTTCTAGCTTCTTCGTAGGAAATCTGTTCAAAATGTATGTTGCAGTCGACACAACTTCACCTCAAAACTCTTTAGGTAAATTCTTGCCTTTCAACATACTTCTCACCATATTTATGATGGTTCGATTCTTTATTTCTGCAGTTCCATTATGTTGTGGAGTATAGGGTGGCACTACCTCATGCACGATCCCTTCCTTTTCACATAACATGTCGAAGTCTTTTGACACATACTCTCCACCACTATCAGTTTTCAAAATTTTGAGTTTTCGACCACTTTGTCTTTCGACCATAGACTTAAACTTGGAAAATACCTCGATCACTTAACTTTTCTTCTTGATCAAGTAAGTCCACAGCTTTCTACTAAAATCATCTATGAATGTAACAAAGTATTTGTTACCTCCTGTCGAACCCACCTGGATGTATCCACATACATCAGAATATATGACTTCAAGAATAACCTTTGACCTGCTTTCTGCATCTTTACTGAAGCTATTCTTGTGCTGCTTCTCCTGCACACATTCCTCACATACCTCATTTGGAATGTCAATTTCTGGAAATCCTGAAACCATATTTCTTCTCTTCAAATCTCTGATGTCTCTGAAGTTGTGATGGCCTAGCCGATAATGCCATATCCATTCATCTCTGCTAGCTGCAGTTGAAAGGCACTTGTGCTCCATCACATTTAGTTCGATCTTGAAGGTTCTATTCTGAGACATAGGAGCCTTCAAGATTAATCTTCCATTTGTGTCGACGAATCTCATCATCTTATCTTTGATCAACACTTTATAATTCTTTTCGACCAACTGCCCTATACTGAGCAAATTTCTCTTCATGCCTGGTATGTACAACACATTAGAAATTACTGATCTCTTACCATCTTTCATCATAATCATAGCATCACCAATACCTTCAGCTGCTAGGGTATTGTCATTTGCAAATTTTACCATATTTTTCATTGAGGGCTTTATGTTGACAAACCAGTATTTCCTTCCAGACATATGTGATGAGCATCCTGAATCCAAGTACCATTGGTCCTTGAATCTATCTTCATCTCTTGTTGTGACCATCAACATCATCTCTTCTTCTTCATGTTTTGTAAACTTTACATCACTTTCTTGATTCTTTTGCTTTTTTGGACAATCACTCGAATATTAACTATACTTCTGACAATTGTAACATTGAATATGACTCTTGTCAGGTTTTCGACCACCACCTCTTCCTCTATTTGCAACACCACCTCTTTGGTTTCCTTGGTATGATCTTCTCTGATTCGACATGTTTCCTTCGTTCTGGTTTCCTCTACCAGTCGATTTGTTGTAGCCACCTTTACCGCTGTCGAACCACTTTCCTTTGTCTTTGGTTTCTTTTGTCGAATGTGCCTGCAAAGCCACGTCATTCTTTGAATTGCCTGAAACTCTTTCAGTCATTCTTTGCTCATGATATTCAAGCGTCCCTTGAAGCTCTTCCTTTGTCAATTTCGACAGGTCTTTCTCCTCTTCTATAGCCACCACCACGTGGTCGAACTTAGGAGCCAAAGATCTCAAGATCTTCGAAACAACATCTCTTGTTGTTAATGTTTCTCCACATACCTTGATTTGATTCACTAGTTTTGTAACCCTAGTGAAGAAATCAGATATGCTCTCACTATCTTCTATCTGAAGTAATTCATACGCTCTCTTGTGAGTTTGTAACCTCACTTCTTTCACCTTTTCTGCACCATCAAAAGACTTCTCAAGAACCTCTCAAACTTCTTTTGCAGATTCTGAATCACTTACTTTTTCAAAATTTCCCGGACTC